GTGCTATGACTTGTTTGAAAAGATAATAGTGTCCCTCCCCCATTGCCTTTTCTACAGAATCCTCTTCAGAGCTGTATTGCTTCCTTCAGGGTGTAGACGGTCTGGATTCACTGCATTTATTAAAAATTAGCTTTGAAGTATTTGATGGGAAAGATAGTAAAGTGGCCTCCCATTGCCTTTTCGACAGATTTCACAGTAGAGTTGTTTTTCCTGGCATCAGGACGTAGGCGGTCATGATATCTGCATATTTTTAATTATCAGTGAAGTGCTATGACCTGTGGGGAAATATAGTAGAATGCTTTTCCATTTTGCTTTCACTTCTGAGTTATCTTCTCTTCAGGATGAAGGCGGTCTTGACGCTCCATGTTTTTTTTTTTATTTATCAGTGAAGTGCTATGACCTGTGGGGAAATTTAGTAGAGCGCATTCCCAATGCTTCATCCATATATTTCATTTCAGAGTTATCTTCCTTCCGTCAGGATGTAGGCGATCATGTCTCTCCGAAGTTTTTTTTTTTAATTGTCTGTGAAGTGCTATGACCTCTTAGGAAAGAGAGTAGAGTGCCATCTCATTGCCTTCTTTACAGATTTCACTTCGGAATGGTCTTCCTCACTTCAGGGCGTAGGCGGACTTGCTTGACGCGCCACATTTTTTATTATCAGTGGAGTGCTATGACTTGTTGGGAAAGATAGTACTGTGCCGTTCCATTGCCTTCTCAACAGATTTCACTTCAGAGTTTTCTTCCTCCCTTCAAGACGTAGGCGGACATGACATCCGCATTTTTTAATTATTAGTGAAGTGCTATGACCTGTTGCTTCAATGAGAACGGTGCTTGCCCATTGCCTTCTTCGGAGATGTCACTTCAGAGTTGACTTCCTTTAACCAAAGACGCAGAAATGAGACGTACAATACTTACTAAATTGGAAAATGAACAAGATCTGACACTTCAAAAACTAGCCGAAGACTGCCAGCGAAGCGTCAGCGTGAAAAAAAGACTCTAAAGACATAGAACAAGCTGGCATAGCATACATACGCAAAGTACGAAGACAAACAAATTTTCCCTCCTCACAAACAAACCGAACTGATTTTCCCGTCTCAAGAACAGGTAAAACAAAATTTTCTAATCATAATCAACATTAAAAGAAACTACCACCAAGTCTATGCTATCGTTGTGGGTCTTGGCATTGGGTTAAAGACTGTACATATCGTGCTAAAACTTGTCTATCATGTAAAAAAACTGGTCACAAAAGTTCTCACTGTTGGTATACAAAAGAAAGCAAAATAAGAATTACGAGGACCGACTAAACAGATGAGACTAATATAAGAAAATATGTACAAGTTGAAATGCAAAACAGAAAAGTTAGGTTACAGCTGGATTCTGGCTCAGACTTAACTATCATAAATCTAAAAACATGAAGAAAACTGAACAAACCTGTCATGTTAAAAACGGATAAAATTGCGAGATCAGTGACGGGGAGAAAGATAAAATTCGAGGGTGAAATAATCACAAACGTAACATTTAACGGAATGACGAAAAACTAATAATGTAAGTCTTAAGAAATACCGAAAACCTATTCGGGACAGACCGGATGCAAAAATTCGAATTGTGGGATCTACCTATTTGCACCTACTGCCAGAATGTAAAAAGCTTATCAACCGAGGCAGACAAATTAAAAGGAAAACTAAAAACGAGTTTCCCCGAAGTATTTTCGGCAGGTCTCGGAAGATGCAAGAAAATGGCAGCTAATATCAAAATAAAGGATAACGTTCAACCTATTTTTAAGAAAAAAAGGAGTGTACCTTTTGCGTCAATAGAAAAGATTGATCAAGAATTATCTATACTCGAAAATACGGGCATATTGAAAAAAGTAGAGTACAGCATATGGGCCGCACCGACGGTCTACGTTAAAAAGAAATCAGGAGAAATTCGAGTTTGTGCTGATTTTTCTACAGGTTTGAACGCAGCAATAAAGGGCTACAATTATCCGCTACCTAGTCCTGAAGAAGTATTCACTAAATTAAATGGCGGAAAATATTTTTCAAAAATTGATCCAAGTGAGACCTACCTGCAAATTCCAGTCGATGAAGAAAGTTCAAAACTACTATGCATAAACACACACAAGGGATTGTAGAGATACCAAAGACTACCATTTGGAATTAAAGTATCGCCGGCTATTTTCCAGCAGACAATGGATACGATGCTGGCAGGACTAGAATACACAATAGCATATCTGGATGACATATTGATTAATAGCGAAACGTTGAACAACACTGGCAACATGTACAAGAAGTGTTTAAGAGAATTCAAAGCTACGGATTCAAAGTGAAAGAAAATACCTTTTTTTTTTTGCTATCCGTCGCGCATAACAAGTGGCGACGAACATTTGAACTCACAAGTGAAGAACAAACAACAAAATCCTCTCTCGTTGAGCGATTCAATTTATTGAAAATGAATTGCAATCATGAGACTAACTTGTTAACCATCACTTTACAATAGTCTTTTAGTTTTAACCAATCCAAGTCTTGATCGATTTATTGAAAATGAGTTGTATTCGCGAAACTAACCATTACTCTACAATAGGCTCTCCGTTCTAACTGATGCAAATCTTGAACGATTTATTGAAAATAGGTTGAATTCGTTGCTAACCATTATTCTATAATAAGCTCTCCGTTTTAACCAAGGCATGTCTTCATCGATTCATTAAAATTGCGTTGAATTCGCGAAACCAACTTGTTAACCATTACTCCATTTTAAAAGTTTATCGTTTTATTAAAGATATCAATGAATTACCTTGAAACATTTTGCTGTGTTACCGGTAAATTTTACTTTAGAAAGCTTAAACGAAAATATAAAAACGTATTTTTTTTAAATGTACGATTACTGAAGTATTATCAGTCTGCCTATATGGCAAAGAATACTGGACAATCTCCTCACAGAGGAAGAAGAGATCTGATGCATCAGAAATATGATTCTACAGAAGGATGCTGAGAATACCATAGAACATATGAGCAAAGACGAAGTTTTTGAGAAAATAGCGACAAAAAAGACAGCTATAGTTAACATCAGGAAGAATGAGTTGAAATTTCTAGGGCACTTTATGAGGAAAGAGCTTTGAAAATTTGATACTTACGGTAGATATTGAAATCAAAGGGAAATAACGCATGACCTACCTGGCGAGCTTGAGTAAATGGATGATGAAGAAAGGACTAAGAGAGATGACAAAAAGGCAAAAATATTATGACTTACAAAGGACAGCAAATTGTAGAGAGCTATGATCGCCAACATCCTGAAGAGACACGGTATATAAAAGAAGAAGCATCTTTGAAATCACTAAATAACTTGGGCAAATACGTCATCATCTCCATTGCCGCATTTTTCTTTAACGTTGGTAATTTGTCATAATTCTTATCTCACACATTTTCCCTATTTACAATTCCTCTTCCTGGAGTGTCTTGAGTAAATAAAATACATTTTATTTTGGTTTTTCTTTTTGGAGTAATATAAGCGAACTTCCGGTGTTGTTCCTGTTTTCAAAATAAAATGAAATACTTTATTGTTCGGCACAAAGACATGTAAATTTTGACTCGCCATTACTTGTTGTGCGTTTTTGTTGAATGCATCACTGTTTTCTCATCTTCCGTTACAAGTAACGGTGTTAGAGGGTTTTGTATATAAAAAATATACTATCTTTTAATTCTCTTATGAGAGCAATTTATTTATTTATGTTTAACCTTATCTCGTCTGCTATGAAGTCGTTTTATTATGCTGCTTCTCCGGTGAAAACTACTTCCTATATGCGTTGTTCATTTTTGTCGATATAAAAATGTGTGAGAGTTAAGAAACCGGAAGTAAATACCAATACACCGAAAAAAAAAAAAACACGAAAGGGAAGGAAAAGTTATGTGCAAAACATGTCAAACGTAAATAGACATTTTTATTTCTAAACAATCTATTTATTCAGCCACGTAAGGAATTCAAGAATATTTTTGTCACACAGAAAGAAAGAATTGAATCCAGAAAGGGTCAATTTAACAATGAAAAGAAGCAACACCACAGCTATTATAGGAAAAAAACGTATATAACAAAAAGAAAAACCAGTGCAGATCAAATAAGGTCCCGAGAAGATTACGAGGTGGAGAATGAATGACTTTCGATAGACACACTAGGTTATGATGGTGGCTTGCTTGATTTGTATTTTACGGTGTATCAACCCTTTGGGGGATTATTTAAATCCAAAACATATATTACCAATGAAAAAACATATATTATCAGTGAAGTGCTATAACTTGTTGGGAAAAATAGTAGAGTGTCTTCCCATGGCCTTCTCTACAGATTTCACTTCATAGTTGTCGTCTTCCCTTCGTAGGGACGTGGGCGATGAAGATGCTCGGCATTCTTTTAATTATCAGTGAAGTGGTATGACTTGTTGGGAAGGATAGTAGAACGCGTTTCCATTGCCTTTTATACAGGCTTCACTTCAGAGTTGTCTTTCTCGCTTCAGGAAGTAAGTGGTTATGAAGCTGTTCATTTTTTTTTTAATTATCAGTGAAGTGCTATGACTTGTTTGAAAAGATAATACCATCCCTCCCCATTGCCTTTTCTACAGAATCCTCTTCAGAGTTGTCTTGCTCCCTTCAGGATGTAGACGCTCTGGATCCACTGCATTTATTATTGCCTTTGATGTATTATGATTTGATACTAGAGTGGCTTTCTATTGCCTTTTCGAGAGATTTCACAGTAGATTTGTTTTCCTGGCATAAGGACGTAGGCTGTCATGACATTCGCATTTTTTGAAAAAAAATATCTGTGAAGACATTTGTCTTGTAGGGAAAGACAGTAGAATACCTTCCTATTGCCTTCTCTACAGATTTCACTTCACATTTGTATCCCCCCCTTTCAAGACGTAGACAGTTATGACTGCATTTTTTATTATCAGTGAAGTGCTATGGGAACGGTAGCAGAGTGCCTTCCCATTCCTCCATCGAAGTACCGTCCGAGGCTTACGGCTAAAGATATGTTGAAAAACCGCTTCACGTACGATCACCAAAGTTAAACAATGCCGAGCCTGGTCAGTAGCTAGATGGATGACCCCTTGGGAATAGCTGGTGCTCTAAGCTTGGATGTGCGGGTGGTGTAATGGATAATGACACGGAATTGTTAATCGGAGAGCCGAGTTCCAATTCTAGTTGAGTTCGTTTATTCACTTATGCGCAAATCCCCTTGGTAAAGGTATTAATCCACCTCTTCTCCCCTAGCTATGGGTTAATTGGTAATACTTGCATCACTAAATCATTATTATCTCCAAAAACAATACTTACAATCGAAAAATATTTTTTTCATTTCTGAATATCCTACAACGAACCTATAAGACGTAGGAAAGGCATCAATCAATCCATCTAAGTACTCAATCAATGAAAGTACTGACTGCGCTCGAAATAGCTTAACTCAAACGAAAATCGGTGACGGTAGACATACCGTTATGATCTTGCAGACCAATAACAAAACATGGCCGTATAGAATAAAACAAATAAGGCAAGGTTTCTGATGATCAACATGGCCAAAAGGATTCTGAAACGTTCAATAAAGACATAACAACGGAAGTAGAATAGTCTGAGTACAACACAGAACGTGCAAGATTGAGATCTCTTGGAGGAATATACTTATGAAGATCTCAGGAAAAAGGGGGGGGACAAAAACCAAAGAAAAGCGGGGAGAGAAGAATATCTAAGAAAAGGGGAGAAAATAAAACCAAAGAAAAGCGTGGAGAGAAGAATATCTAAGAAAAGGGGAGAAAATAAAACCAAAGAAAAGGGGCGACAAGAAAAATCGAAAACAAGGGTGGAAGGGGGCTGTTGAAAGAAACTCATAGAAAAGGAGAGAGAAGAAAACCAAAGAGGAGAGACGAAAATCAAAGAAAACGGGAGAGAAAAACTCAAAGAAAAGGTGACAGACGAAAAACATAGAAATGAAGAAAGATTAATTGGACAGAAGAAAATCAAAAAAAAAAAAAAAAAATTGGGGGGGGGGAAGAGAACCAGAGAAAAGGAGAGAGATGAAAATCAAAGAAAAGGAAAAAGAAGTAAATCAAAGAAAAAAAGAAAGAAGAAGATCAAGGAAAAAGGGAGAGATGAAAATCATGAAAAGAGAAGAGAAGAATATTCTAAAGAAAAGAAGAAAATCAAGAGAAATAGCGAAAACGAAACGATTGTATAGAAAAAGCTCAAGATCTACAAATATATATATAAAACCCTACTTTTCCGGAAGATGGTATATATTTACATTCCAGAGATTGCCTTATTTTTATATCCGAAGATAGAAAATCCCAAAGCTTTAGATGAAGCTTCAATCTTTTTCCTGATAACCGATGTACTAAGAGATTTGTGGAAAAACATTAAAACAAAATTTCAAAACATTAAAAAACTCTCAGATTGAAATTTGATGGAACTGATAGTAGTAGATTTTTATCGTTGGTTTATTTCTCTTTTAGTTTCCGGAATTATAAGAATATTGTTTAGAATAAACCCCTGTAGGTGAAATAACTCCGGTGTCTTTCTCTTAGGCAGCTTTAAAACCTTTTAGTTATCACCCTTATGTAGAACCACATTTCTTTCTTTTTCTGCGAGAAGAATGCTCAACATTCAGTGTAATATACGAGAAAAAATATTACAAAACTTCAGTACTGTATTCTGACAAAATAGTACTGTATTTCTGACAAATTTTTCCTCTATCTTATTACTTTAATTAGTATTTGTTATTCCATTGCTTGGTGTCACATTTATTCTCCTCTGTTAAAATGCTACGTAAATATTTAAATTTTTTTTACTTGCTTGATTTTAATGTCACCAATTCGTAGCTCAAAATTATATGCAGATGACGCAGATGATAGCAGACACGGAAGGAAAACTACAAAAGCTCTTACTGAAGGTAGTGAAGGAAAACGGTAAGAAAGGACTAAACATAAATTACGAGAAGACACGGTCGTTAGCAAAAGCATAAGCATAAAATGCAAATTGCAAATCGGGAATACCAAAATTAAACAGTTATAAAAACTTAAATATCTGGGAAGTGTTTTAACAGTGAACGGAAAGTGTGAGACTGAAATCCGAAGAAGCATTTGGGTAGCCAAAGATGCATTCCAGGCATGCTAGGCAAATTATTAAGGGACAGAAAAATTTCGTTAGAAACAAAAAAGAGTACTCTAATAACCGTCCTCCTATACATCAGTGACTGCTTGAAAATCTCCCCAGAGATGAGGAAGAGACTTGAGGTAACAGAAAAGTGGCTCTACAGGAAGATGCTGAGAATATAATGGACAGGACATGTAAATAACGACGAGGTTTTCGAGAAAATGAAAGCAAAAAGGAAACGTATACTTACCACCAGGAGGAGACAGTTGAAAATTTTAGGGCACATAATGAGGAAAGAGGGATTGGAAAATTTGATGCTCATAGGACAACTTGAAGACAGGAAAACAACGCATAACATACTTGATGAGATTAATTAAATGGATGGAGGAACAGATGTTTTCTACAAAATAGGAACCAGTAATAAGGCGTGCCAGAGAAAAGCAATAATAACAACGGAAATTGCAATATGAGCTCTGGTGAAAAAAGCATGCTATGATAACAGCAAAAAATTGCAATATGGGCACTGGTAAAAAATTGAGGCTAAAGACATTAAGTTTATAAGTCCCAGAAATTCATACCCAGATGTCCTTAAGCAATGGCACAGTGGATAAAGACGTTGGTTAGATCCAGTGACAGGACCCAAAGAGTTATGAGTTCAATAGCAATGGAGTGGAGAACTCGGAGAAGGGAATTAACAGAAGATAACTGACATCCATTAGACATGGCACGTGGAACTAGGACAGTCTACCCCAGCGAGCGAAATGAAGGGATCAGTTCGACATTCCAACCACATGAAGAAGGCCGGAGCGTGCAACGGCCGAAACTTTGTAATAAATATGGCGACAAAGATGAGGACAATAGTCCGAATAATGTAAATAATTTACATAATACCTCATCTCAGAAATATAGACAGATATAAGGTCAATATCCTCTGCAAAATGCAGGTTCTAGATAGGTCTATCACCATTAGGGATAGAAGTGTTGTGGTTGTGGAGGTTTTCCTGTATAATTATCTCCAAAAACAGATCGATGATTGCTGAAGAGAGTAGACATTCTTAACGCCGATAGTCGCCTGGTAGAAATTTACCGCTTGGTTACTAAAGAGAACTGCAATGGTGGCATGGTCATAGAGGGACTGGGTGACTTTCATGAGTTTTTCTTCTATGTGGAATTCTCTGGAGACGTGCCAAAGAACCATCATGCCATACCAGATCAAATGCTTTCTTGACATCAATGAAATTGTGGAAGAGGTCGCTCTGTTTTTGCAGCTGTTTCTCGCTGAAGACCCTACAGTTGAAGATTTATTCCACTCTGCTCCGATTGGCTATAAAACCTGCCTGCTCTTCTGACATCTCACTTAGGTTAAAAATACTAATAACGGCGGATATGCTTCAGACAAAACGGAAACAAGTCGGTACCTAAGTCACTGTAGCTGAACAGAAAGGAAAGCCTCTTAAATAAGAGACAAATTGATTGTATTCAACTTTTGAGCCACGCTGAAGGTGGTGAGTAATTGGATTACTATTTCAGTTGTGTTTTTCTTTGAGCCTCTATTTTTCTACTGGGAAACTGGAGGCGATTTGTTGCTGCCATTGAAAATTTTCGAGAACAAAAAAAGAAATAAAATAAAATAAAAAAAAACAGATACAAAAAGAAATGATATCATTTTTTTTTATTTAATAGAAACTATTATTTTTTTTTCTTCATTTGGGCGTTTCTGGTGTATTTTTTCTGGTTGGTTTCGTGAGAACAATCTGTACTAAAGACAGTCATTACGTCAGTGTTGTTGCTTGAAATCTATTGCCTCGGATAAAATTCCGTCGTCTTTCCAGATAGTTAATTTTTTGTACTTGCTTGATTTTGATATCTTCCGTTTTTAACTCGCATGATGGGACGTTCCTCTTGCTGTCAAGCACATATTCTTACTTTTTGCAATTAATGGTTAGTTCTTTCTTCTAGCTTTCCTTTACTACATTGTCTAGGACGTCCTGCGGTTCTCTTTCTGTGTCTGCAATAAACCGAGCATAAAATTCTGTTTGATTGATTAACATACCAAAAACCTTCCTCTATGGCTCGCCACACCACAATCAATTCGGCCATATAGATGTATTTTTATGGCTAGCGATATTGATTGTTTTTACGGCGTATCAACCTTTTGTGGGTTATTTAAAACTGAAATATATTTTCAGTTGTAAGGATAATTCATTTTCAGAGAGTGAATATTGCATAAACAATTTTTGGAAAAAACAGTGATTTTCCAAATACAAATCCTACTATTAACCCATAGCTAGTGGGTAGAAGAGACAGATTAATACATTTTTCAATGGTATTTGCGTGTAGGTGAATATAACGAACCCGATATGAATTGGATCACGGCTATTCGAGTTCTGAATTCCGAGTCACATTGGGAGAAACTTCTTTTGATATTTCTCTAAATATTTAAAACTAAGAATTCAACCATTACAAGTATATAGAATATCAACATATATATATATATATATATATATATATATATATATATATATATATATATACAGACAACAAGTTTTTCGACAAGGATCAAAACTCGCACTATGGATGAACAGGATTTTAATGCATATATTATGTTTTCTAGCGATGGATGTCGCCAACAATCGCATTAATACTTCTGATTAATTCTATGTGTGATTATTTCTTTGTATGTAAATCATATGCTGCCTAATGTTTTATGTTTATTAAAAACTATCGATCCGCAGTACATAAAAAAATTCCTATAAAAAAAAACTACTACTAAGACATTACACTATATTATTGAACTATATACTTAGTTCATGACATAAAAACTGAATACACTTGTAAAAATAGAATACGTGGATTTAACACCTCACAAGAAATATTTAAATAAAATTCTCACTTAAAAAATTTTGAAAAACTTAGCGTTGCGTCTTTGCACGTTCCGAGAACTTACACAACCGTCAATAATAGCAGATATTCAAAAAACATCT